TCTGTTCCATTACCAAATTCAATGTGTGCTAATTAGTTTATCCTGTTGTATTTTTGGGTGACATTTTTAATCTGCAAGCTTAACGATTGAGAAAAGTATTTTTAGAGTATATTTAACTACTGCATTTTTGGGAAAGTTACCACTCGGGAAGCTTTCTCTTTATTTTTTTACAGTTCTGGATGCCCTACTTCTGTAATTTACTCTGTCATGAGAGATAATTTCTTAGACTTATTACATAAGTTAAAATGTGTTGGAAGCGGTTTTCTTCAAAATACAGCTGACATGCTTTATGAAGTTACCTCTATGCGAATAGACTTTTGGAGAGGAATTACCTTGAGGATATGTGTGTTTTCTTCTCTTAGTATGTATCATACTTGTGACCGTTTTTCTTGTGGAGCAGCTCTAGATTGGAACATTTTGACTAGTTTTGTTTATGCGTTGCTCCCTACTTGCTTTTCTTTTTGTATCAAGTATACCTTACTCCAAGTTTTGGTCCCTCAAAAAAAAACCTTTCCGTGCTTGTCTCTCTTCTGACTTGTATCAAGAGTTGCATCTGCTTTTGGTTGTGGTCCTGAGGGGTATAACTGGTTCTTTCAGAATCTTATTATAAAAAGCTTTGTTTTAAGATATGTATAGACAGACTTGCATGATCACAAATGATGCAAAAGTAGTCAAAAAAATCAAATGTCACAAGTTATGTCTAGCAATGTGCTCATGAGCTGCAGCCTCGCAGTGGTGTGAAGCTCACGTACTTTGCAGTGCTGTAGGCTATTTAGCAAAGGAATTTTCGAGCATTATGGGGCTGTGCTAAGATGTGCTTTTGTACGAAGTGTCTGTCCTGCATGGAGTAGACATGGGGAGAAGTGGTGCTTGTACGTGCATGTGTCTATTTACACATGCAGTGCACAAACTATTTTATGCGTACGCTTAACGATTTCCTCTTACTACTACATTTACTTGAAATTGGCGCAAAGCGTTTGTCCCAAAAAGTCTGTTAGAATAAGAAGTCGAGGAGAAACTCAGTAGTTCCTCAGCTGGCTGTAGCAACAGCTATTTCTGAGTGATTCTCATCCTCTCACCCATAAAATCAGCATAAAATTGACCTAACATTGCCAGATCAGATGGGGTATCTGGAAAGTAATCCTCAGGGAAAAGAAAATTCAGTCTTTGTAAATCTGAAGATAAAGTGCATAAAGTTGCAGAATCGGATTATACTTTCTCTTTTTATTTCTAAATCAGTACCCTTTTGTTTCTTCCTTTGCAGCACTTGTGAGAAGTTGCCACAAAGATGTGTCAGATGCTGCTTGAGCCTAGCTCCAAAAGCAGAAACAAACATAATCTTTTGAAAAAAGCCCAATCCCTGACTCAGATAATTATCATAAAATCCCAAGGCTTTTGATAGGTGTTAGGGTTTGGTTTCAGAGAGTGAAGGCATAGAAAGAGTAATAGTAACCTTCATTTTTGAAGCACAAGTCACATCAGATTTTCTTACTTAATAAATATATAGCAAGTACCTACTAAAATAACCAGCTAAAAGCCAGTAACAACAACTGCAAAACCCAGCTCAAAGCAGTTGGATGAGTCTTGGAGGCATATAATTTTTGCTGAATGTAGCGCTGAATGTTTTTCTTGAATTGAGTTAGGAATATTTTTTAAAACGTTGGCTCTTTTTTGTTTTCACGAAGAAGTATTAAGAGCATTATTCTGCCTGTTTAGATCACATGAATTTAATTATCCTCTCATGATATTAATGTCCTTTCATGATATGAAAATAAATGTTGTTATACCTGTAGCTCACTAAACTGGAATTTACTTTAGAGTTCTTTTTGTTATTTCAAATGATACCAAAGTAGTACGAGAGCTCCCTAATAATATGAAGTGAAGATAGCAAACTGAGCAGGACACTAAATTATAGTTGCTGTTTTTATATCCGTTAGCGTATCAGGGCACCAGATGAAGTTATTGGAGCTGTTGATCTTGTTAAAGGGTATGGCTATGAAATTGGCACATCACTGACATGTGAAGATATTACCTGTTTAGGGACACCAAACCCCAAGTTACCGAGAGCCAAGTTTTGCTTAATTCTGAGATTATACTTTGCTCCTGATTGTGACCTTTTAAAATTATGCTTGGAGGTTTTGCTATTGCAATCTGCTTCCTTTTTTGAACCCTGGTGGTTATACTTCCACAAAGAAAGAAATTACATTTCTTTCCCTTTTAGAAGTTTAGAGATTAAACATTTTACAAAGTATTAAAAAACTGTGTTTTGTTACTGTGTTGCTAAAGATTCAATATACTGAATGTTTCTCGTGTAACTGTACTTCACATCTGCCAAAATAATCTGCCTGGTTTCATTGCAACCAAGAGGGTTTGCCAAGTCTGCTCCTCCCTGGCCATGCTCCCTCAGCCCGCCTGGCTGCACAACGGTCCTGCACCTATTTGCAGACAATAACTGGAGAGTTTTGCAACAGAAGCAACTATAAATGGTACGACAAGACGTGGGAAGTTCTGAGCAAGAAATAGGTGATAAGAAACGGAACTAGACACAGCTGGTAACCGGCTTGTGTTTCATGAGGTCTAGCAAATGCTTAATGCTGGGTTGCTGCTGGGTGAAGCAATCCTGCTTTCTTGTCACCACAACTCCCCATTCCCTGTTTTTTCTTCCTTTTTTTCTGGCACAAACCCAAGGGGTTTGGGGAACCAATCTAGTTGATGCTGACCTGAAAAATCCTGGGCAGTTGGTTTGATCTTGGTCAGTTCCCTCATCTAGTTAAGTGTGTAGCCATGGGAGAGTCTGCACTGGCAGGAGAGAGATGGTGGTACAGGATCACCAACAAGCATCTGGTAGTGAGAGTGCACTGGATTTGCTCGTTTGCAATGAAATTTATGCTTGAAATGTTTGTGGACATATGGCCTTAGATTTGCAAGCTCTTTTAAAGTTTGGGGTTTTTTTTGATTCTGCACAATTTCCAGTGTTTTTAGCAAGTAATTTATGAATTGCTTAACACTGAGTTTTTGGTATCTGCTACCACGCTTGCTGCTCCTTGAATTTGTCAGAGATCATTGTTGATATATTATTACTTTCTTTTTCATGATTCTCAATTGGAATAAAAATAAGAGATCCCTTACAGTATGAGCAATTAGATACTCAGACTCCTCTTTTATCTGGTCATTAGACAGATGTGTTTGTGATTTAAATACATGCAAAACAGATGGGGGGAAAAAGGTTTAAGTAACTGTATTTGCTCTCTTATTTTTATAAACATAGCATCTTATCTCGTGTTTCATGTCTGCCCCCAAAAGTTCTTGCTCCCCATACTAGATGGAGGAAGATTTATTGTGCAAAGTGCATGCATTTTCATAAATAATAGCTGCAGAACCCTCCCTAGATGTTTGTAGGAGCAAAGATGTGCTTGTCCAATGAGAAAAGTCAAATAGCCACATTTTTATCTAAACTCTTGATTAGATTTGAAGTAAATGAAAATTAGGCCTAAATTAGGTTGAGCTGATTGACAGGTTGACTTTTGCAACACGTTTGAAATGTGTGTTCCTCTGTTGGTTTAGCATCTGGCCTGGGGTGAAGGAGGAATATGGCCTTCTGTCTCCAGCTCCTTGTGAGTGGGCCAGCAGCAAGAGTGGGTGCTGCAGCTGCATGGTGAATAGTAGGATTTGCAATCAACAGCTGGGAATGAAGATACTATCAATAGCATTTCACTTCCATTAAAGCTTCAATTTGCAGGAGCAAACACACATGGGAGGATGAAGAAGAGTAGAAGCCTCCATACTTGGCTAAAAGTGGAGAACCTTCTGGTTCTGATGTAAAACGTAGCAATGAGATGGAAGTTTCTGATTTATCAGACAGTGCTAGCATTAGAAACTGAAGTGGAAATTCAAATACATTTCCCAGATCTTGGCTCCTCAAGAAGACAGGAATCCTAGCAGCTCCTAAGGTAGCCAAGAGGTTGCAATTCTCATCAGGCAGCTTCCCCCAGCACTTGTGGCCAGGTTTCTCCATTCATTTTAGTGCCTTCTGGCACCCAGAGCTGTCATCGGCCACATGGTCAGTGGCGAGAATGATGTTGGCCAGGACACAAGCAGAACTTGGAGAGCTCTCCCTCTATGGGAAGGATGCACAGCCTGGGCATCCCTTGCAGGATGCAGGTAATTTCACTTTTAGCACACGCTGCTGCTAATCTGTTGTATCGAAGTGTCTATGAATCTTCATGGGTGTTTGTGATACAGTTTAACAGCAGCACCTTGGGAAGGTTTTGTATCGCAGGAGATTAAAAGCTTTGGGAAGATGGAGAGCATAATTTGGTTTTTGTTGAAAGGTTATGGTTCAGGTCGTTGTGTTAGATGCCTTCAAATTAATGTTAATTGTAGAGTAATGTATAGCCTAAATAACACTGATTATTTTGATAATCAACAGTTTATAATGGGTTGATGAAAACTTTAAGATATTATTGGAAAGTTGATTTTAAATGGCACTGAACAGAAAATATTCAAACGTGCTAACTCTTCTAAACTCTTCCTTGAGAGTGCTGGTTACATCGGTATTATCTTTAAAATCACAAATGGCACTTTTCTATACCGCATAGAGATCTTTGGTTTCCCCTTCTTGTCATTTTACATCTTTTTTCTTTTTTTTCCTTGGATGGAGAGAGGTTTTATATCACTTTATTTTTAAATTAAATTAAAATGTGAAAATTGAATACGTGCTTAAAAAATGAAGTACTTAAAGGTTAAAAAGAAAGACTAGAATATGAAAATAGTCTGGTATGTTATAACCTGCTACCTTATGTAAAACAATAAACAGATAGTTTCATAAATATGAAATAAGTCTTTTTAATAATCCAGTATCTTCCTTAGTTTTTAGATACATTTTTGCATTTGCCTCAAAGCTTGACGCTAAGCTGACCCTCTCTTTAATATTAATGTACTCTGACTGTAATACTCTGTTCCTTTGCCTCTGATTAATGCTGTCTGTCAATTATTTACAGATCCAGTGGTACTGTGGAAGTTCCCGGAGGACTTTGGAGACCAGGTTGGAAACATGAGATTGAACTTTTTTTTATGTTAGAATAATAATAAAAAAGCTCTCCTATTCAGCTGTGGAGAGGCAGATGCTAATGATAGCGGGGAGAAAGTCTTCACCCAACTGGTGGCTTGGTGATTAGAATGCGTTTGTGACAGGAATATGCAATAGCAGTTGTAGAGCACTGTGTATCATACTAATTCTCTCTATCACCTTATTTTGATATGGAGTATTTTATAAGCTGTTTCTGTTGGAAGTGTTGGATTTTTATCTGTTGTAGGATTGGAAAATATGGAAAATTTATCAACAAAACTTTTCCAAATGTTCATGTTATTGTGTTAACAAAAAAACACCAGAACAAAAAAGTTGAAGAGCTGTATGTGTATGTCCTTTAAATGTGCATCCTGTTCCTTTAATCCTTTACAGCACAAGATTATATATATTTATTTAATAACATTTTAGAGATACTCTAGTTATTTGCTTGGAGAATAAATAATTCTCAGACCTTTGTGAGAGAAAATGATCTAAACTTACTTATTTTGAAAGCATGAAAATCCTAGTTTCTACCTATAATCAATCCTCAAAGGAAAGTTTATACATACAGGACTGATTGATTATTTCACTGTATTGATAGCAATTTATTTTCCCTGGACTAATTTATTAAATATATTAATATTAAATTTTAATGAAACTATTAAATTTTATAATTTCAGCAACTCTCAGATTAGTTTCTCCCATGGTAATGTTTTCTTTTAGACCAATACTGAGTCAAACAAATTCTTCATTGGTAATACCACCACAATGGATGATCTGGAAATATTTTTGTACAGTAGATCTTGATAAATTGTTGATTATTTTTTTTTCTTTTAAATACAAGATTCTAGAAAGAAAGCTATAAGGTGATTCATGATGAAAGGAATAAATATACAAACGTAGAAGGCAGGATGTCTGGTTAGGGAATAGCATCAGTCAGAAACTTGTGCAGTTTATAAGATAGTGATAAATGGTACATGAGCAAAGTGTACTGTTAGATATTCTTAGCTAGACATCCAGCAAGTTTTGATAATTTTCCTGGCTGCAGAATGATCATCTTCATTGTCATTTAAATTCTTTTTTTTTTCTAGTTTGTTTTGTTCTTTTTCTTTTCCCTAAGAAAGACTTGATCTGAAAAAAAGGAAAAAAAAAAAAAAAAGAGAAATTATGTATGAAGAAAAATGGGAGCTTATTCAATAAGTCGAAGGTTATTCAAAGAACAGCTGGTGTAGAAAAATGATTAGAAGATGAAGCCCGCTGAAGACTGGAGGGGGATCATACAAAGATGCAATAGACATACCTAATCTATAAAAAACACAGTCCTCAGGCAGCTCCCTGCCTCTGGGCTTTTAAAAAAACCCTACGCCTGCACATTGTCTCAGCAGTGTAGGAAATCTAGTGTTTCAGGTAAATTACTTGTGTTCCTGGAAAACAAAATGTTTTAATCATCCTTGCAAGGGAAATTTTCCTATTAGAACCACTGGATTTGCACAGAATGTATAGCAGCTTCTATAGCAACCCCCTGCGCCAAGTAGTCAAGTGAAATCAGCAGAAGCTGTCTGTGCACATGTATGTGTGTGCACGTTGAACTCGGTAGGTTTGGATCAGAGACTTGAATATCTACCAGATTTAATGTTTTTAAAAAATGAGGTTTCACTAAAACTACCATGGCAAATTTCAATGAAAGTTTGTGGGGAGGATGTATAAAGAAGAAAAAAAAAAAAAAAGAAAAAAAAAAAAAAAAGAAAAGGAATATTCTCCATCCCATTTTTCAGTCATTTCTATTTTAAATGTAAAATGTGTGAGTTAGTTTTTGGATGTATCCCAAAGAATCATCTTTCCTAAAATCTAAGGGCTGTCTGTTTGCACAGTGATGTGATAACAGTGGGCAAAATATTTTCCTCTCTTCCTGAATTTTTCTACAGTTTATCATGTCACCTTTTTGTTGCTTTCATAATGCAAAGAAAACTTGTCTAAGCTATTTTGATATATTCCTTCTCTTTCTCACATTCATCCTCTCAGTATGCCTGAACTTTCCAGTGCTTACTCATCTCTAAACCTGTCTCTTATTCTTGTGGCCTGCCGTTTGCTTTTGTGCTGGGCAGTGGTTTTAGTTAGTTTTTTTTTTTCTTAAATGTTGACTTTCCAAAGCCTTGTTTTGCAAAACATCCCTTCTGTTTTGGATGTGATGCAGAAACTACAGATGATCAGGAAAAAGAAAAGATTGATGATTTGTCATAGTCACTTGCTCACGCGCAGTCCATTAAGTAAAGGGAATATTAAGGCATAGTTTTGGTACCACAAAAGAATTTGTAAGATTCAGTATAGATTTCCTCACCTGCCAAGACTGCAGGGAAACCACTTATTTTCTGTTTGGTAATTCTTCAGATGCCAGAATAAGCAGGAATCAGGGAAAAAAACAGAATGGGAAAAGAAAAAAAAAAAATAGGGCGGGTAATGAAAAATATTTCTCTTTGCCAGAAATAACTCAGGAAGTTTGTGTGTTGCTAGGGCGGGTAATGAAAAATATTTCTCTTTGCCAGAAATAACTTAGGAAGTTTGTGTGTTGCTTTGTTGTTTTTTTTTTATTTTATTTTTTTATTTAAAATGGTGAGAGTCACTTCTTAGTGACTCTCAAAACTATCAATTAAACAATGAACTCATGCCAGGTAGAATTCTAAGTACAAAGAACCACACTGCCATTTCAAAGAAAATCTTTATTAAAAAGTACCCCAAAAGCTGAAATAACTAACCCGTTTGAGGCATCAGAGTGTTAAAATTTACTCTTGTAGTGTCATTAATGCTATAAACACGTCTGACATTGTTAAAAAAAGTTCAGAGTAATGTAAGCAAAATTAGGAAGATTCCTGATTTGAGCATTATAGCTCTTCCAAGATTGTCCTCGCAAGCTCACATTTGAATGAAGAAGGGGTTGTAGCCATTTAATGGAATATTTTTTTTTTATTATTTAAAATATATTTTCAAATATATACCTACAGGCTCTCTCCTGTAATGTGTTCAAAACTCCCCTTGTGCTCAGTGGAGTTTTTATGATGAGACGTGTATATTTTTAATCTTGAGATTCCTGTTTTGTTTATTCAGACTAGTTAGACTAGAGTTTAATTTCAGCCCTGCAAGCTCATTTTCAAACAGAAGTCTATACAGAGAAAATTATAATGCGACGATATCTGGCAAAAAGAATCCAGTAGTTTTTAGCTCTTCTGCAGAGGTAGTAATTTTCTTTTTCAAATTAATGTCACCCAGCAGAACTGAGATCTGCTGATGCTGGCTGGCTCCTTGCGGCAGTGGAGTCAGTGGCAAATCTCTATTGGTGTCAGGTGTGTCCAGAAGCCTCCAGGATCCCTCTGTTTGTAGCTGTTCTGGAAATAAAACCACTCAAGCTCCCGGTAACTTCATTGGGTTGAACCATTCCTGGGCAAAGGAGCGGTGTTGGCACAAGGAAGGAGAAGAGCGCGGTGCCGGTAGCACCAGCAGGTGTTAGTGGCTCTGCCAGAGGCGGTGCTGCTTTCTGTGCCATCTTAACCTTTGAAGCATGTGAAGTCTAACATTTCTTATCAAGTTAGTAATTACAACTATTTTGGATACTATTTTCAGCTGTGTAAGAATTCAGTTGCTTTTTGATCTGACTGCTTACTGGCTCAAAGTGATTTTCATCTGCAATAGGTCCCCGAGTACATTGTGTGTAGAAAAACTGATTCATTGAATAGTTCTTATTCTTCTCCCTTGTAATCACAAAATTTCTTTCTTTAGTCTGCCACTTCTCTGCTGGTGAAAAACATCTCACCCAAAAAATGATACAAGTAGCTAATATGCCAGGAGATGATCTTACCTGATCTTACCAGAATCCACTTTACTAATATGAAATACGACAGGTGGCTGTTGACTGAAGATGTGGGTTAAGAAAGAATTGGGACTCTGCATTAGGTTGTTGGTTGCGTTGCCGATTTTATCCTATCTTCTCTTGCTCTCTGCTTTCTAAGGAAGCAGACTACATCTGCTTTTTCATGTCAGACTTTTCCCAAACCCTGCAGATAAGTAACTGGTAAAGGAATCTGTGCTGGTTTCTATGAAGTTACTAACACTCTTTGTTATTATCTCATATTTTGTATCATAACGTCTGGTTTTTATTTTTAATGTATCGCGTTATGCAAATGTCACCACTGAATTGGGAACCACAAGCCTTACTCCTTATCCTCTATTGACCCAACTACTAAAGCCTGATATTGTATGTGTAAATCTATCATTCATGTGAAAATATTCGTATATATAAAAATATATAGATACACATGCATGTTTGTAAATAGCAGTAAATCCCATGAAGAACTAACACATTAGCTTTCCCTCAGCAAAGCAGTTATCACACACTTTACTTTCAATGTATGTATTAACTATTGAAAGTTAAGCCTGGCTTAAATGAATGTCTCACTGGAGTCAAAGTGCTCAGTTTCTTGCAGGATGGGATATTTAATTGCATGGATCACAGCAGCAATTATATAAATGAGGTCAATATGAAAGAGATTATATTCTTTTTAAAAAAGATTTAAATAATAGCACAAATTTTCTTAAAAAAAAAAAAAAGGCAGCTCAAAAAGCAAGTTAAAGTCTGTTTCCTGGGTCAAAATAATGTGTGGAAGCCAGTTATGACCATTTTGTGTTCCTCTGTCTTCTCCTAGGAGAGCAGCAGGAACCCAGAAGGTATGAGACTCTTTACAGTCTACAAGGCTGCAGGCGTGTGCTGTTAGGGGATACATCTCACTGGCTTTCTGCATTTGATGGCTTTGTTCTTTTATTCTGATGAGGCTTTAAATACATGTTTCAGATGTTTATGCGAACTAGATAGGTGATTGCTTTGGTGCTTTTGTTTTTATCAGTAAATCTTAAAAAGGGTGTGCGGATTTTGTTGCTTGTGTATTAAAAAGTTTGATTAGCATTTGGGTACATTGGTACTAATTTTC